TCTTTAAATTCTTTGACTAAAAAAAATTTTCTAGTAGATTTTTATCTTGTTTTTTGTCACCATTTCAAGATTTTGGAATACAATATTTGTTACTTATTATCGATTATCAGTTTCTATATAGAACTATAACTGTACTTGTAATACTATATAAAAAAAGAAATACATGTTTGATCCTGACATTAAAAATAAGATGTGGTATGGTATATTAAATTCATTAAATATTATATCGAGGACACTCTTACTAAAACTTATATATCAACTCGACACCTTTTTCACTGCAATCTCTTGTCGATGTGATGTGAATAAATTAAATAGTGCATTCTGTCCATGCTAGATGGCGTTACTTGTTACAAAAAAAAATAGTAAAGCATTTAAAGAGAGAAATCTAAAGTAGCTTTTGTCTTACTTAGTTACACTTACTTAGTTGCCAGTAAAATTATCTTTATATTATAATTCCATTATCGTTATTTTATGTAGTTATTTTATGTTGTGAATACTTAAAATATACGTATGTTCTATGTGTCAAGTAAAATTATCTGGTTAGAACTTTGATATTCTAACATTCATATTGCACGAAATATTATTTGCGTATTTTCTTATAAAATTCATATCGTATGTTCGAGCTGAGCAACCAATACAATGTAATAAAGTTTAGTGTTATAGCAGCAGTGTTCGTATAATGTGATTCAAAGGATATGAGTTGAAATGTAGAACATAAAACTTTTGTTCTTATCATAGTATATCTCCAATAGGGACATATCTCATTTCCCCGGATTTCTTTTATACTCACTATACCACAGTCTTGTTTACCAAGTAAAGGGTTCTCGACTTGCCTTAAAACTTTATTAGTAACCATTTATTTTACACTCCCAAAAGAAGTAGATTTGTTGATAGGACAATAAACTTTAAATACATAAGTATAGATATACTTCTCTTATAATATTTGTATGACTGGATAACAGAAAACTAAATTTAATGTAACTGTAACTAGGTATAACTACAATGTCCCTTATAATGTATTCTAGAAGGTTCTTCTTTAATATCATTAACTCATTATTTACTTCACGTATTGTACGAGAAGCAATAACTATGCAGACTGCATGCAAAATCATGACAGTGACAATCTGACACCGTTAAATATGGTTGTGCTTAAGCGCCTTGCTTATTGTAAATACAAAATATTTTACACTCTTCTGTAATTCAATATTATTGTTTTAAAATTTACAGTCTACTGATTATTATTAATTGACTATAGAGATATTTTCATCGCTTATCATTAAATATCTGTCAGAGATTTCTGAAATAACAAGAGGACCTGTGACAAAAATACCAAAAAAATATGAAAAGTATTATGACGCCCAAATTGTTTTATGCTATCGTCTTTAAACATATACTCTCACCCCATTTATTAAAATCCATCAAAGCTGCAAATGGTATAATTTTGTATCAAATTAAAAGGAAATTAAAAAGTTTCTGATACATATTAAATAGAAAAAAAAATTGTACGGAGTTGTGTCTATGAGTAAATTTTGCTTCGCAACAGGCGATTTTTTGATCAAAGGAAAAAAGTTCTTCATAAAATTTAAACGGAATCAATACTGGAATAAACCCTTTTCATTATTATTTATTACTAAAATAACTATCAAAATTAATTCTAAATTGACTATGCGAACATATCGCAAAACATATCCACGAAAGATACGAACGAATTGAAATCCCTTTTTTGGAAGTACCTTAAAAACACCGTTTTACGATCGGATAAAAAAGGCAACTCTTAAATGAATTTATAAACGCTACGTAATCGATACTACAATATCGTGGAAATGTTAATTGAATTACGATTCCATTTGATCGGTCTCCGCACCATATTAATCGGAGAGCGGCCTGTATCGAAATTCCATTTGGAAATGCCGCGAGCTAACGCCGCTTGATGTCGACGTCAGATCTGATTGATCCGCTGTGAAGGCACGCGCTCGGCTTACAGGAGCACGCCTCACATGCACTCGTATTATTTAAAATCCTGTCTTTGTGCATGCTACCTATGCCAATGCCGATTTCATTGTAGTATTCTCATTTCAAATTGAGCTATTACTTTCAGCCGACTTCAAAAAGGAATAGTTTATTATGTATATTAGATGTTGTGTGACATCTTCGGCAATTCTGAACCATTTTAATTATTGCTGTTTTTATTGTAAAAGTTTTGTTTCCAAGTTGTAGGTCCCATCTTACTGTTATTATATTTGAAGTCGATATTTTCTAAAATAAATGAAATATTACCTACCACTGTAATTGATGATATAGGTATATCTATGAAAACACATACGAGTACTTGTTCTAAGTACATTTTGCTCTTTTAATACTGGTTATCCAGTTCGCAGTAATTAGAACAAAATATTAACATCACCGACAACTTACAAGGAAGAAACGTGCTACGACATAAATAAATTATACAACGCACCATTTAACGACACCAAACTCGGGCACCTTGCAACCGCCTTCTCATTGCACCGATTTACAACTCCGCCTTAACGATACTGATAAATAATCGCCAAGATTACGCCACTTATCTTGTACGAATGAGATTTATTGCCGGTTGTAAATAAATAAGCTGTAGAAACGCTGAATCCGCTACGTAAACAACCGGATTAACTGGCCAACAGTCATAATAGCGAAATTATTTGACACTCGAGAGGTTTCATTACAATATGTTAATTTTATTTGCCCATAAAGTGATATTGACATCAAGTATCTTGAAGAAATAAATGCACGACTGTACTGTACTTGTATTCCTTCATGAAAAATGTAATTGAATGATTTATCTCGTTGGTCACGTTTCACCGCCATATGGACATCTCATGAATAAGTAATGTTCGGCCGCGGTCGTTGTTTCAATTAGCGGTTGTGTCGCCGGTCGGGCACGACCACCTCCCGCCACCGCCGGCCACCTCTCCACAAAACGATCCAACGCCATTGTCATGAAGAAACGAGTTAGTTGTAGGGATTACATTATCACAACTTATTATTGTCTATACTTCACATAAAATTTTATAATGACAAGACAAAGGCAACAAACTTTTATATTAGAAATATGTAGCTTCCAATTGGAATAAAAGTTTGAATTACATCATTTATTGCAATTACTAAATAATAATTAACTGGAGGAGTATATTGAGTAACCAGTAAACCAGATTTTTAATGTTATGAAATATTATTGTTTTATTTTAAGAGACTAACGTAAAATATTCTATTAACTGAATTACTTTAATTTATTACAAAAAAAAAAAATTATCAATCCAAGTCGGGGACTTCCAATCTGACACCGGCACATCATAGTACACTCCATGATGCTGAGGACTCAGATGTATCTGACATGACACTAAAAGAAATTTTAGTAATTTATAGGTGCGATAATTTGCAGCACAATGTCTTCACAACAATAGTGTTATATTAAACTACGGTCAGTGGGATCAACAAAGTTCATTAGCAAGAGTCATACGAAAGTCCATTATAATTGAGGAGAACTGTAATGAGGGATAGTAATTATGTGGTAACATCCTGCGTTACATCTCCGCCGACATACCCGTTTAGGATTAAAGGGATCTTGCGCGACTTGGCACCACGGTTAAATTGATATCTGCAACTCTACTCGACTCGTTTATCTATGTAAAGGGCCGGAAAGCAATTCCTTTTATTAGAATTGGGGGCATAATCGTGCCCGTATATCTTTTTGTTGTGTCTAGAGAGATACTCATACAATCCAAGTCAGTTCAAGTTTTATAAGATTTTTAAGAGTTACAACACTTAACACAACGTTTTTTATTTATATGCGAATTTTTGTTATCCATTTTTACTGTAAAAATGTTTTCATATTTCACAACAAGTAGGATCTATTTATTTCGATTGGAAACATTTCAATATTGGCATGATCAATTTACAACGTACGCGGATGCAGCGCTTTTTGAGATTTAGTTCCGGTCGACGACCACTCCCGGAACCGACACCATTTATATAGACCTAAACCGGCCGCGAGTAATGGCCTCTACACTCGTATAGTTGTGAGAGATTCAACCGGAATTCCAATCGCAAACCTTTAACCGTTTTGTATTTCAATGTGAATTTACCAACTTATATTACCTATAGTTTCATTTCTAGCAGCCATATTTGTCTGTATTTATTTCCCATTACGATCATAAAAATATCAAAGAGACGTTAGCACTCGTGTAAAAATTTAAATTATGCATAATTAAAATCAATAACCATTAGGATTTATTATACACGATCATAGAATTATTAAACTTATTCTAATAAAGTTACAACGCAGTCATATTATTCATTTTTATCATCCATAAAAATGAATGGCAAATCAAATTGGACGCGAACTTCTTCAAGTAATAATAACGTGGAAGTTCATTGAGCGAGGGCGGTCGGGGAGTTATCCATTTACAGAGAAGTTATACTCGTTTTATTTTCTTTTGCCGGTACCGGGGAACGCTAGTCGCTGAGCATCAGCCGCTTTCCCCGCTTGAGCGCACGCCTTTCGAACCCTACCGTAAAATAGACGCGAAATGTGATAAATGGAAAACTCTTTTTATTGTCGGGCCCCGGGCACGTTATGGGTTGGCTCTTCTCATCCCGCTGCGCCCTTATTCTCCCGTCTTATCAAGTTTTCTTATATCCTAGTTACCGCTCAATTTTGTGAGCTTATAGGTATAAAAATCTTTCCCTCTCTGCTCCCCTTCGCAATAGAATTGAACTCTTAAAGTATCAGTACATGAGTTCCCAGCTCATATCAGCTTAATATTACAGCTTAAGTCTATTGGGAAATTTTGTTTCTCGGTTATTATTTGCTCAGTCTACAAACTCTTTAAACATAGCCTCTCTTATTCGTTCAGTTCTTTGCAGAAATTTATTCTGATGTCAAAATACTGTGAAATATTAGCAAGTATTGTTTCATTACGTTTCACTACGAATGAAAATACCACATTATGTATATTTTGTAGGGCATTACGCTGCTTCAAGACGCTGGTACGTCGGATGATAGTGGCCGGGCATCAGAACGGCTCACGGGTAGTTCAGTCGCACCACGCGATCCTGACTCCTCGCGCGACCGTCTTAGTGACGTAAGTATTATTATACTACTACATCCCACATCACCCCTTAATATCATATAGTCTTTGCTATATTTACCAACCTGTTTTTTCTCAACGTGATTATTACTATATATTACTAGTTGTTATTACTGCTCACTAATAAGCAGACTATCAACATTGCAGTGATTAGGTGAATCTACTATCGTTTCAAATTAATATTCAATCTGGGGTTGATTTCCAAAAATGCATGAATAAACCTTTTTAATGTCGTGTTTGTACTGATTGTTAGATTGTAATACCAACATGTGTTCACACATTCGTTGTCTTCTGTTTCGTTGCAATTATTTTCTCTCGTCTCTCCCACAACTATACCTGAATTCATCAATAATATTATTAAATGATTTATAAAAGATGCCACCTTTGGTATGTTTACATTTATTTGAATTGTTCAATCACTATATAATTTGAAAAAGGGGTAGAAATCCCACACATATTTAACTCATCTGTCAACAACAAATGGCACGATAGAGCGACTTAGTCGAGGGCGAGACGGGATAGACCTCACTTCCCCTAGTCATTCCAGTCCACTCATATGTTCGCTTTCTCTCTCCTGCCTACAGGCCAGTAGCCGCTGTAGTTCCGGAAAAGGCTATATCGTAAGTACACTCATTGTTGTCCTTGTCTAGTTTATGTTTCTTTCTGGCATGCTCCCAATAGGATAATAACCCTAAACTATATTGATTTTATATTTATTAACTTGTTAGTGGGCACTCCAAATCCAGTATCAGAAAAGTTACGTAACACGTAATAGCCATAATTTTCGATTACCGTGTGCAAATTTACTCCGATCACGCAACACACATAGTCCCTGTTCGATATTCGGCGCGTATCGCAGCTAAATCACGAGATTTGTCGAGGCGGTGCCGCTCCGTACTACATAACATTACCTGCGCCCGCCCTGAATACTTCATGTTCTGTATTTATTTGAAATTGTAATATCTCAGCCTGATCCCTTGTTGTTTCCCTTGGCGCGAACTTACCTCGTAAATATCACGTAACGTATTCGTCGATTTATGATACGATGATAGGCTTCTTCTCCCATATGAATTGGAATTTTTCTATGCTTGAAATCGAAATGATATTTCCATAATGAAATTGTGTTTACGTAAGTCGACATTTATGTGTGTAATCATCTTTGTTTAAATAGTAATTTATTTACATTAATTTAATTGATCATAAAAAAATTATTGCACGGCAATTCATAAAGTGACCGGTACCATCGGCTGTGTAACAAAAGGTGCAAATATGTATATTAATTGCATTATCCTGTTAGAAGTAAAGCAGTCATCAATGTCATTATTTATTTAGCTATTATAACTGCAGATTTTTTTTTTTCTTTTTATCTCTTAACCATGATTTTCGCTTTGCTTCAACATAGGTGTGGGAAATGCATTCATTGGTGTTAGTTTTAATATTCTTAAATATTTATATACACTATCACTGCCTAAATAACTGTTGATTTTCTGTTCACGCATGCGTCTATTGTAAATTTTCAAATATTCGCATGTGTTTTTGCGTGTAAAATTTATAAATCCTCATACCAATCTGCAATTTTTTAATATAAAACTTTCTCTTTTTGCAGTGTGATAGTGAAGGCGACGACGATAAGGCAAGTACTTTTAAGTATTTACTAAAATTAAATTTTAAGAATTCTCAATCGCAATATTATTATTTTTCTCTTTTTACTCCATCAAAATGTAATAAAAAGCTTTTCATTCGGTTCAGTAAAAAGATATTTTAGGTACGGTGCATAAATTCATTGTATATATTTAATTTTATTAATTTGGTACAGAGTAGTTAAAAATTTCAAAGTAGCAATTGTTTCGTTTTGAAAAAAGTATTGAATCAACATCTGAAAACATAACCAATATTGTAGACGTCACCATTCCATAAACTTTTATATAATAATATTTGTTTCGATGCGACGATCAGATTAAACGTTGGCTAAAACAAGAGGGTAACCTCTTGTACAGTTTATACACTATCTACTACTATACAGCCATAGTTTTGTAATATATATAATTTTATATTCTAAGATAAATTAAACTTTTCAAGAAGCTAATATCAAGAAACATTACACATCCATGCTATTATAGCAATACTCACGAATGTAGTAAATTAATTAAACCAGTCTCCAACTTCGGCTTTCTGAGAGTTGGAAAAGTTGAAACAGAGCGTTGGAAATAAATATCCGTGTAATGTAAGTGGCAAAGTTGTTCGTTCCCGGTTTATTAGCCGTTGGACTCGCTTGCGAGTGATTAATCTCGCGGGGTGAGATGTCCCCTGCACCTGTTTACAAATTGTTTAATCACACTACACCCTTCTACATTTCACGCTCCCCACCTTGCTGTAATTATATCAATTACGTATTAAAATTGTTTTAGTTTTTTCACCAGCAAACTAAATTCCTTTTACTATTCTTTAATCAATTAATTGTTGCAAAAAAAAATTATTTTATATTATTGATAATATTTTACCACCAAACCTTTTTCTTATTATTAAAAATAAAAAAAGATACACTTTTGTACTTTAACTTTTAATATAGTTATCGATTATAATGAAAATGTACATATTAACCCTTGAAGGGATTTCTTCCAGTCAACCTTGAGAACCCTAAAGAAGAATGAAATAATCCTGAACATAATCGATATCAATAATAAAATTATAAGAACAACAATGTATGTACATTGTTTTGCGCGAAAATTAGGCCAGTCATCTTTAAGATTAAATTCTGAATATTTGTTACGTTTAGTCATATTGTTATCACGTATTAAGTAAAACTACGCGGACCGGCACGTGAGGCAGGTGTAATTACTACTCGTACTAATTTAAAAGTGAACGTAGGTAAAACTTTCTTACAGCTGCATGAATACTCGCGCAAATGTATTATGTAGTTAGAAGGAACAACGCTGCTCGCTTTGTACTCGGACTGCACTCCCTTTAGGGGCTTTACTAACTCGTCAACAGGTTGTGATGAAATGTGAGTCAAATGCAGAGTTTGAATTTAGAGCGCTCTCCTCTATATAGTGCAAAGGGCGCTGATTACGCGACGGTCTATTCCGTAATTACTAGATTGGCGCAGTCTGAAAGTGCCCGTAATGAAATACATTACACCGCCTCTGACGTTGGTAACAGCACCAGCATTGCCGACGGGGTTTCGTTAAGATGTAATCGCACCGCATAAGGAAGGGGTCCTGCGCTTACCTGGCCTCCCCACTCCTCTTTCTCGCATTCCAGAACACTTTTATACGAACTTTCCGGACAGACCTCGTATAGTGCAAAGGGCGCTGATTACGCGACGGTCTATTCCGTAATTACTAGATTGGCGCAGTCTGAAAGTGCCCGTAATGAAATACATTACACCGCCTCTGACGTTGGTAGCAGCACCAGCATTAATTAAATATAATTTATTAAATAAATGCAATTATTTTCATTTATAAGTGCAACTCAAACAGAGAATATAGTACAATTTCGTGCTTAAAAGCCAAATATGCTTTTATTCTTTCATAATTATCACCTGATATCATCATCATCATCTATTCAGCCATTGTTCATGCACTGCTAGACATAAACCTTCCCCATAGACTGCCATAAAGAACGGTCCTGAACCACCTGCATCCACCGACTCCCTGCAATGCATTCCAGGTCGTCACTCCATCTAGTATGGGGTCGTCCTACACTGCGTTTACTTGTATGTGGTCGCCACTCAAGAACCTTTGTTCTTTTATAATTACTGCCTAAAAATATTAAAGAAACAATATATGAGCGTCGGTCTGAATTGTTTTGTAAGGAATATAAGAAAGACCAATGTCTAGAAATGGACGATGTAAATTAGGTTGTTTTAATGTACTCAGAATAAGCTTTATTTAAGTAGACTTATAGAATGTAAAATTTTAAAGCGTCACTATCTGTACAAAAAATTTCTATACCGAGCACCATCTACATTTGTCTTGTATTTTTAATAACCATATATTGAACAAGTTAAATTTATGCATTTAAAATAGAGTGTAAATAAAAAACAAATCCTAGATCGGAAAACTCTAATGTACCTAATCAGCGGCGGCAGTTCTGCAAATCCGTAAGCTTTAAAGACTGATAGCATTGTTCGGAAGCGGCCGCAACCCGAGCTCGTCCACGTTCCCCTTAATCTAATTATCTGGCCGCTTCGCTGCCGAGTCGCTCCGTCCGAAACACCCCACCCTCTATCTCAATTTCCCCCGTCGAGAACGTTTAAGTATGAAAGTATTTTATTAAGCAATCCATCCCTTAATATGAAAAGGAATTTTACGTTCAGACTTCGCAGCTTTTCATATATATGTAATTTGATTTTGTAATCGTTTCCTATTTTCATGTCTTTGATCTAAAGTATATTTAAGAATGAATAAAATGGATTTGTATATAACTACTTTGATACATATTATACATAAATTTAAATTACCAATTTTCTTTATATTCACTATTTCATAAAATGTTTACTCTTTTGTTTAACATCTTTAATTTGCAAAATACACTTTGCTTTGTACTGCGTAAAATATACTTTTCACTTAGTACAACATTACGTAATAATTGTAGTTGTAATATAATTAATTAATAGATGTTTGGAACATCTATCCCTAATGTTAAACATAATCGAATTAGAAGTCGAGTGGCACAATAATGCCGTTAAATGGATATCTGAGGAGGAAATCATTCTCAGTCTGCTCCTGTTGTGCCGTAGTCGATTAATTAAATTATCCCAGGAGAGGTTGGCGGCATGGAGCGAATCGCTCAAGGCGTGTCACTAGCGAGAGCGAGGGCGGACATGAAAGCGAGCTGCCGACGGCGGTAGATAATGCTCGCTACAGTCTGCCAGAGAGCGCCACTAACTCGATCCCATTCCACTTTGGCTATTTGCACTCGGGGTTCAATTATGCCTCCACTTTGATATGCAAATCCTGTCGCTTTTGGCTAATTACGTAGACGCTTCTGTAGCGCCTCTCCTGACAACGTCAACCTGCAGTGTTTCACATTGATTTCACCTGCCACAACCAAACATTTGTGGTAAATGGCGTATTAAGAGACTTTATAGCTCTTCAGACATTCAAACGTATATAAGCTTTAATGTATTATTAATGTATTTACATATTATTACTATATTTAATTATAAAGGCATTAAGACTTTTTACAAAAACAAATTAACTAAATGTTTATGGTTAAACTTCAAAGTTTCTAACTCGGTATGAGACGTTTTACTATCACTTCATTCCATTATATTATTCTACTGTAACTTAAACGTGATTTCTCTAATACTCAATATGGATTATTTAGGTTCATTTTTAAAATCATTGTTTTATATAAATTTATGGTTTTTTTTGTCACTTTGCCGTCATAATTCTTTTCCTTTTTTATTTTTCCATAACATTGAGGTCGATACTGAGGCGCCGTTTCTCTAATCCTATCTTTAAATTTTCAATTAGATATCACAGCGAAATCTTTATTATTTGTACGAACCAATGTAAACTAAATTTCTAATAGATTTAAGTCAAAATTATTGTAAACTTTAAGAGAAATCGCGACTCAGTGTCTGTCGCAATATTATTAATTGTTATGAATATTTGTCATCGGCCCAACTACCTATTTATTCAACATCCATAATTTTCCTACATCAACAAGAATAAAGAGAATTTCTCCTCGTTCGTAAGCAAAGCTTTGTCGATATTGTTGCTACTTTTGCAAATTGACCTTGTTTGTTGCTGAGCAGCGGAGGTTATGAATAGCTGGAGCATGAATCTCTACAAATTCCCGGGGCATTGCAAACTCTGTTATTAGCTTAGCAGTAACGGTAGTCTGCAACTGCACAGTGCATCTCAACCACAACCCACCGGCCTGTGCTCGTAACTTAATGCTAGTGGCAATTGCAAGCTGGAATAGCCGTTGCCCATATTCGGGATCCTCTTTGTGATAAACACATGTCTTGCTACGTACACTGCGGCTTGCAGAAGCAGGTTATTGTAGAATTTAATATAATAGTAGCATTCAGACATACATGCTATGAACTATTAATATAGTTTTAATATAAAGAAGGATATTACTATACATTTAAAACTCGTAATGTCTATTATTATTAAATTTATTTTATCGTGAATATATTTGTAACTAGCTTTTAATTTTAAATCATCCACACTTTTTTTTATCATTGTGATTATTATAAAAAATACAAGTGAATTGAAAACCTCTTAAGAATCTGACAGATATATCAACGCATAATTAAAGAGCTTGATGTAGAAATTTAAAATATTTATACTTACTTATATTAATTTTACAACAGTGTGTTGTGCTGTATTAAACTGTATGGTTGTACTGTATTGTTTTACTGGATACATACATGTTACACAAAGAATTTCTCGACATAAATTATTATATTATTATTAAAATTTCTGAGTAAGCAAAGTTGCAGCAAACAGTCAGTAGTAAAATGGTAATAGACATTTATACTTTTGTAATGGCCTCACCATTCAAAAATTTGGATTTTCAAATTCTCATAATAAAATGTTTATATTATTTTGCAATAGAATTACCTTTGTTTACATCGTATTCCACCAACGTGAAATGAAAGGAACTGTGTATAAA